TTCTGGAAATCTGCAATTTGGAGAAGCCTTAGAGGGATGAGGTCTATATATAGTGAAAAAGAAACCCCAAAATTTTTAGCCTAGAGGGATTTGAAGTTTATTGCTTCCCCTGTCCGTATGAAATTAGGAATGCCAAAGATATGGCGTGGAGGGGCAAACAAAGAATCTGCAAAATTTATTGCAATTCAAGTTTCGAATATATTTCATTATAGGCCAAAAACGAGACAAGGCATAATTACATGATTAGACCACCGACTTTCATTCAATTTTGTAATTAAGGTCATCATCAACTTCAATCAAAATTTTCGTTTTTTTTTTTTTTTTAAGGATAGTCCAAATTGAATTGAAACCTTTATAAAGTTGAATATAAATTTTATATTAAAACTCATATGCACAATTTTTACATGATATTAGAATTTAAGTTGATTTTTATTTTATTCACCTTATTATCCTAATGTTTATTAAAATAATTACCATTATTTTTTTTCATAAATCTTGTTCCTAAATTCATAATTAAATGTTAACACAACAATTAGTAAATTTTTTGATGATTTATTAAACATAAAAAATTAGCTTTCAATCTCTAATATGTTTTGCTGAAAATTTGACGATAAAGAGCCTTTTATATTTTTATAGTTTCTTCTCTCTATCTCCCTCCTTGCTCTGTTTCCTTTGAAAAACTCTAAATTGCCCTAACTTTTATAGAGTATATATTCTATAAAAGTTAATTTGAAGTAATTAACTGAGATTACGATAATTCACTTTTTAACCCTAACTTGAGAATTTTTTATTTAGTAAAACTTGTTTATTTTATTTGGTCTGTACTAATTTTTTATATGTTTTTGAGGTTATTACATATTATATTTTTTAGTTGGTTTCTATTTCTCTGTTTTTAATTTTACAAATACAACTAGACAAGCACTAACTAAAGATCTTAAAGGGACGCTATACTTTACAATGAGTATAACTAAATTTAATTACAATCATTCTTATATTTTTTTAACATTAAAATAATGAGTAAATATTTTAAGTATTGGACATAAATTTAATAAAGTATTCACAAATTTGACTCCCCATGGTAAATCCTGGCTCGGCCATTGTCCTCAGGCTTGTCCTTAGGCTTTAATTTATCTAGAGCGAATCTCAGCCTAGCTTCCCAATGCAGCCAGAAAAGTCTGTTTGATGATACACATATACTTTGTTCCTAAAAAGGAAAAGGAAAATATTCCATGAAGAGAAACACTGAAATAGAAGTCAAAAGAGACAAGGCTGAGCAAAACAATGTGTTGGTAGGGGTGGATGCAGAGCTCTTATGATGAGGTATATATACGAAAGGGAATCCACCACTCCTGCCAGAGGTAACACTACCACCACGACCTCCTCCACCACGTACACCACGGGCAGCCACCAAAGACAACTTTAAGATTATGGTTACAAGCACAAGCAAAAACAAAAACTTCATCATTTCACCTGCACACAGGGCAAAGAAGAGCAATTTTCCTATGATGATACTTTCAAAATCAACTGAAATTAAAGAAATTGAGAAGGAAAAATAATTAAAATCCTTAAAACAAACTGCAATTTGAGAATAAAACTCAAGGAAAAAATCTTTCTCCTCTTAAGAATTGAGATCGACACTCTCTTTACTGCTCTGCTTGCAATTGGGACATATCCTAATTTTAATTGGTTATTTGATGATAGCTAGTGAAATGTTAGCAATTTAAAATTAAGAGTTATACATGCCAAGTTGCCCCAATTACAAAATGTGAATGCCAAAAAGAATGTTTCTAACATTCTCCTCAAGTTGTTGGTGTGCATGCCAGAATCCATAAAAGAGAACACCAAATTATTTTTATGTTGTTGATTTGTACAATTAAAGACAACTTTAAAGAAACCAACTTAATAGAGCTCTACTGAAATGGCATTTAAAAAAAAAATTGTTTGTGGGGCCTTCTTCCTCAATTTTTATAACTACCATAAAAATAAAATAAAATTAAAATTGAGTAAAAATCCTCAAACAACATATAACACACAATGATACAGTTTAACTAGACACTATGCAAAGACATTTAACATCCAATGAAAAGTTGGATTAGAATGTCAATAAGTTTTTTATTATTATTATTATTAGAGCCAAAACAATTAAGACATAGAGTTAGGTACATACTCTACTTTCGTATCAAAATATTTGAAAAAAAAAAAAAATCTAAAGCATGAGAAGATTGTCTACTCTACCCGGGGTCACAGCACCTACACGATCCTACCAATGGTTCCATTCACTAGCAATGTAGCGTGGCATCGGATATATATCCGTGATATTTTAAATAGAACAAATTTGTATTTTTTTTTTTTTTACAATCTGCCCTACACGTAAAAAACATCATCTAAATTTTGTATATCACTCATGATTCTTACCTTTTTTTCCCCCCTTTTCCGATTTGTAATCAAATTTCGTCAGGTCTTCTAGAGATTTCTCGTCTTCCAGCAGAGAGTTGGGCGCTTTCACCTGAAAGAAAATTTATTGGCAAACATATCATCCAAAATTTCATGAAATAGAGTTTATCAACAGAATGGTGTAGTCTGTGTGTACTAACGGCTATAGGAGGAGAAAATTAAGCAAGCTTTGCGGCGGCGGCGTTTTATTAGGAGCACCTAGGATCGGTGCTCCATTGATGACCCTTCGCCAGAGCGCCTGAGTAGAGGAGGTATAGGAAAGAGGGCATGCAGATGCAGAATAAAGAGAGAGAGGCAGGGGAAGGGCAAAAGGTGGACGGAAGGGAGTTTCTTTTCTGTTATTAATTTCTAATTTCTAATTTCTAATATCCTTTAATTAGTTTTTCTTAACAATATAAATAGTTTAATTAGTTTTTCAATATAAATAGATAAAATTAAAATTTAGGAGCTATTATAATTTAAAATGTTAGGGCCGTAAATTGTTTAATTTTATTTTTGATAAAAGTAAATAGGATATATATTTTATATGGTAAATTATATACATTAAAAGTGCAATATATTAAGTGAAATACTTATTCAAAAATAAATTGTTCAAATTCTTTATTGTTGATTCATAAATGCTATTTAATACACAAAGAATTGTGAGTAGGTTACGAAGGGATTTGCTTTCATTTATCTTGTTTATCAAAATTCAATTATTTAGAGGATGATGCTACAGAGATAATTTTTTTGTTTTATTTTTTTATACAACTTTTATATATCATTAAATTAGTTGATGCATTTAATATTATGAGTTTTATTTGAATTAAAAAAATCATTCATTTTTAATAATATATAAGATTATATAAAAAAAATGAGATAAAATGATTGTCTCAATAATATTTTTCTTCTTTAAAAGGTATTAAAACATAAATTTTTATGGATTTTTTAATTTTATATTTTAGTACAGACAAGATACCTTCCATTAGATTAAAGAAGAATTATTCTCAAACTAAGTGTAATATGATTTGAGGACTTGGCAAGCAGGTCGGATTGAGTGGGTTCGGATTGAGTCATCTTGGATCTCGAGTTCTTCGGATTGGATTATTTCAGGTATTAAGTCAAGGAGATTAACCCATGACCCATCCACACAGGTCTCGGATTGGGTCAGGTGGACCAAATTTTTAGAAAATTAAAATTAAAATTAAAATTTTTTTTATATTTCTCTCTATTTTTCTTTAATAAAATATAATATTAATTAACTATTTAGTTAAAAAAA